TATACATACATAGATTTATAAAGCTTTTGATACATATAGCATATTGCATTGTAATAACAATGTTCTTGACCTAGCACTCTACTTAAGTGCACAAAAGTTGTATTAAAAGTTAAAAGATATAGAATGTTTACATTATTTAACAGTAGAAGTATTTTTTTTATAATTTCTTCGCTGTACGCTAATTAAATGCTGAACTTTGTTTGTATCGCTAAGGACGAACTAAAATAAATCAACAATTACTAAACAAAATGTCCAGGTTTCACGAAACACTCTAAACCTCTTGTTAGAGTACTAGTATTTTATTGTCTCCAAAAGGAATTGATAAAAGTTGGCATTCCCACTTCGTAAATTGGGGAGTCAAGATCAATAATGTGATAAGGGCGATAAGCAGCTGATTAATAGACTGAGCGTGAGTAGCATTCAACCCGCCATATTAGAGACTCGCGATAACTTGGCGGGAAAAGTTAGGGGTTTCTCCTAATATTTTTGCTATTTATGTCAGTTTTCTCTACCATTTTGTCGATTCTATAAAAAATGTGATCCTAAACTAGGCTATTGCTGAAATATTGTATTTTGCCATGGCTTTCTTGTCAAGGGAGTATTTTATTTGCGGCGCAGACACTATTGTTGTTAACTTCCGTTTTACACTTTAACCTGGATACCTTTTACTAGGGTGTGTGGGACTTACGTTTCCTATGGCTACTTATTATGGTAATTACATTGATCATAGCACAAGAAAGATTATATTGGACACCTTCTCAGCAATATTTTTTTTAGTTTTAGTATCTTGATCGATAGTGTTATACTATATGTAAGCACTGTAGGATACGCATTATTCTTAAATAGTTTATGTTCGTTTGCACCTATAATAATCATTAAGAGGATAAAACAATGAGATTGTGCCAATTTCTCATTTAGCGAGATCGAACATTATATCTTGTTTTAATGCAACGCCAAAGTCGTCAGTCTTCCGTCATCAGCGGTATTGAAGAACTATTTGCTGTGAAAGTAGCCAATATGAGCACTAGTCTATTATTGGATCGATTTTTAATTGATGGTCTCATAAGTCAGTAGATTTCTTCGTAACCATGAACAATAACTTGATTCGAAAAGTTTGATTGTTTTAGTATTTTTTTCCACTTATTTTCCAAGTGAGCAGCACGTTTCACACAACTATTTGACCAGTAAAGTTGAAAATCAGAGTAAACCTACAAAACAGTCCCAAAGTTAATGTTCAATGGTCCATTCACTACTCTTGTGAATTTGAATAGGTTCATAGCTCGCCTTAACCTTATAGAGGCCAATTACTAAGTAATGGCATTTAAACTGGACGTATGTGTAGTTTTTGGAAGGGACTTTTATGTTAAAATGGCATGAGTGAGAAAAGGGGTGGTAATGGGGGGAAAGAGAGAGCATATCTTGCTGTGAAACAATCTCCCTCCTGCAGCGAGCCTGTGTTATATCACCCACTTTCTTATAAAGGACCGACAATATACAGTTACTCAGGGAATCTCTGCTGGGTCAAGTTAGTCCTCAGCGCTTTGAAAAATGTTACATGTCATTCCTGTAATAGCTTAATGTAAAGTAAGGAAACGTCAGTGACTTTTCTACTTTTTTTTCAACTTAAAAACAATTTTCAATCTTTCTTACGGAAATGTTATTGTTTGTTGGTTTTTTCAATAGCCGTTCAGATTATTCGTTTGTGGTTCCATATGAAAGAAGATGACAATGTACTATCAAATGCTATGAAACGTATTTTAAGTTTATTTTAGGCAGTTGTCTGGAAGCATTGGATAATATGAATTGTTTGAAAAATCAAGTGTGAACAGTTTTTTCCAAAAGTGCAGCCAAACTAAATATACAGTAAGTGCAAAAAATAATAGGCCTGTGATTATTAATATGTGAAACTATATTATTGAGGGTATTTTTAGTTGCATGGTTTTATAAGCAAGTGTGTCACTTTTTTAGAGAACATGCCAGGTAGACTTATTGAATTATTTTCTGTTATACTATTAAACAATATTATGTGCAAAGGGAGAGGCTAGAATAGAATCTAAATACTGTACTGTATGAAGTACAGTTAGACTTATCCATTTGATACAGAACTCGTCGTTTAGCTGAAACTTGAACCGTAAATTTTGGGTTATCTGACTTATGTGGTTGTGAGGTTGACTTAGAAGTGTTTCGTTTCCGAAAGATGGGTAAACATACAGAAAAGCGCGAAACAATTTATTGCTTTGCTGATTTGTAAACAATCAATGAACACATCATTTTGCGTTATTTTTATTGTACCAACTACTTGATACATTAGTAAAAGATCAAAATATCACATTGTACATCGTTTAGCCGCCAAAGGTGTTATTTTTTTTATACAACTAAAAACAAGGTTTAAAATTTGCATTCTTATAAGGCCGATACCATCTTTGGTACTTATCGGTTTATACGGACCTTAGGTTACCATAACCTTAGATAAGGTGTGGTCAGTATAATAGAAAATTACCCATGTAACATAAAATCGACAAGTTATATTTTCTTTTAAAAATCACGCAGCGGTAGAAACCACACACTTGCGTAGTGCAGCTCAAAGTGTATTTCACAAACGCATATTAAAATTGAAACCCTAAAACATTATAGCTTCAAAGGTAAACAGTTTGATGTTATCCGCCACTTTACATAGTGTTCCACCCCGAATTCCTCATTCCCCTACGCCATTGTCTTACACATTTATAAACACATTCCACCCCCTCCACCTCACTCTGTCTTTGTCTGATGCATTGATGGGGTGTTGAGAGCAGGGGAGTCGGTATTGCAGATTTATGGCTAAACTATTCCCCACACATTTGGTAATGTCTGTCGCTGCCAGGTTTCACTTTTGGAGATTAATAAAAGATCCTTTGTTTTGTTTTGTGAATGGGTTCTCTTTGAGGTTGATTGTGTAGGTTGTAGATGAAGAGATTCAAAGTCTACAATAAGTCCAAATTGAAATTCAATATTAAAAAGAGTTCTGCAATCCAAGATTTAACATAGTGCAATAAGTATAAATATTACCTACAGTACCTAAAAATACATGGCGACTTATGGTTAGGCTTGAAATATTATTTAATTACCCTACAGCATAAATGAATGTTTGGCAAAAAAGCTTATAAAACCAATGATAAAAAAAACTCATAATTAATTTAACGTAGAAGAAGACTTTTTGTATAAGTTTTAAGTTTAACAATATGTTGTAGTGTAATGACAGTACTCATGATCATAACTTTAATAAACTTTTAGAAATTTAATGGAAAACGTTTGATTTTATTTAGATATGGATTTTATATAGATTTAACTGATTATTGTTTTAATTTCATTCAGATTAGTTTAAAGTGTAATTTATCATTCACCTAATTTTCTCCATGGGACTTCCCTGAACAGTCTTTAGTAATCTCACCTCAGGGACTACAGTGCTAACTACTTAAGAGATTATGAACTCATCTTGATAAAGAAACTTCCTTTCTATTATTAAATGAAAACTGTAAAACTAGGTTAAAAAAAGAATATTACGTTGACTACAGGGAAAAGGTTCCTAGTTATTTTGATATGCTTTTTTATCTAAAATTCAACTCATCTGAAATTATTTATCGTTATCTCTCCAAAATATGGTTTTTACAACCTTAAATCATAAACTTTGGTGGATTACTTTACCGATATCCACAAAATAATGATGTAATCACTTTCAAAGGGCTGTGAGGCAAATTGAAAAATCAATTGCGACATTTCAATATTTAATACGTTTTCAAAATGTTTTTGCCTCGAAATGGATATTATGAAACAATTATGTAAATGTGAAGCGGCAGAAGCTGTGCATCATTCATTTTTGGTGTACATGAGCAATGGAGATGAAAAAGATATTAAGGGGTAAGCTGCATCCCAATGATGTGCATCACAGCAGTTACATTTTAAACTCTCCCTGCATTTTATATTTTCATGATTGAAATATTTAAAGATAGGTTGATAAATTATGTATTCATAAGTTTACACTATGTCATCATGAGCATACTCAAGTTATCCATCTTTCATTTACATGAAATTAGGATCTGCTAAAATTTGATTTTATATGATAATAGGTAAAACTTCAAGGTATTGAGAACTATGCACTGATTGCAGTACATTCAATGCTCCTGCAAATTTTAACTTACTTAACCGCAAACATGTATTTCAAAACACGTCAAAATATGTTAGAACTTGGAAATTAAATACCAAACTATATTTATTAAAATTAAACATCTGTTTTCCCAGATTTTAAAACATTTTGGATCCACAATGGTGACCTTATACATGGGAGAGGCTTATCCTCCTTCACCTTTATTGTTGGCCATTTCCAATCATTGCTGCTGGATTACAAGACTCCAGTCTCCAGTGGCTTTGTTGATATCATTGTTGTGACAAAGTCGGAGTTATCTCGGAGGTATTCAGCCTGAGACCCTCTGTGGATCTATCATCTCCCCTCTACCACCCTTACACAGCCTGCTGATATATAACCCACCCTTTGTAATATAATACTGTAAACCTCTCGAGAATTATTTGTTCTTGGTTGCTGTGCATAGTGAATTTATTTCTCAAATCCTACAAACAAACAATACAAATTAAATATAGGTGGATTAGTAACAATTTTAATTGCCATTAGAAACGTTTTAGAACCCATTTTAACCAAATCAAACGATTAAATTAAACAACAGCAGCTTGTCCTGTGGTGTTTTAACAAAACTGTAAAGCAAAAATTGTAGAGGTCTACTCTCAAATAAAATTTAATGCTGATGTACACTCTAACATTACCAACGTCAAACACTCGTAAAACAGGCTTTAGATTTAACAATATTTAGAAGTCTACTTGCACTATTCAAAGTCAATAATTTTTATCAAATCTGTTTTGGATCAATTGGGATACATTTTAAACAGTTTTTAGCATAAGCTTGTTCATTATTGGAGTCTCCTTAAATAAAACCTTAATTTTGTTCCAGATTTCTTGTCAGCATCGTCTGAGGAGGGAGAGGAGGAGGAGGGTGGGTGTGAGGAGGATGATGGGGTGTACGAGCATGTGGGGATAGCAGCTCCTACTGTAGCGCCGCCGCGACGCAGCCCCTACTACTACGGCGACCTACTACAGGGGGAGGGGGATGGCCCCATGCCCCCGGACATGAGCCGCCGGAGTCTGTACGAGACCGCCTTCGACTCCCGGATCAGCAAGTCAGACGATGACCTGGATGTGGACATTGTCATAAACAAGTCTATCCTGCCCGGAGGCAAACTGCCGCTGCCTCCCAAGCCCGGGCCTTCGTCGGCGTGCGCCACCACACCGGAGCGGCGCAAGGTAGTGCTGTCCAGGCAGGAGCTGGTGAGGAGGAAACCTAAAAGTGTCCTCATCCGACGGGATAAGTCAGTAGACAGTCTCCGGTTGAGAGATATATCAGTTGACAGCTTGACAAAAGACTTAGACAGAGTAGAACTCCATGAACCTCCTCTACCTTTGAGAGGGTTTGCTCCTCCAACGCCTCCTTCCAGTGCCCCCTTGCCAACAAAGTTCCCATCTTCTCACTCTATGGCGAGCGTCCACAGCGCTCCCAACCTACCTGGTGCTCGCCTGAAAGATGCTAGACTACCCATCAAGTCAGTTCGGTGTAGAATAGAAGACGCGAGAGTCCTAGAGGGCCGACCGAGAAGCTTCATCGCCGATTCTAGCGAGAAGGTGGATGAAGTGTATTCTAGGCCGAAGAGTCTGTTCTGTCCTGAACAAAAAATAGCTGAAATTAAAAGCAGGCCAGATTCAAGGACAGAAACAACAACAGCTTTCCTAACAACTGCTCAAGTGTTGGAGATTAAAGGCAGGCCGAGACGAGTGCGAGTGAAGTACTCGAGCACTGAAAGCATGGCCACAAGCAGCAGTGGTGGAAGTTTGGAGTCGATTCGCAGCAGTACCAGCGAAGGTAACAGAAGCACCTCCAGCTCTGAGAGCCATCGTAGCAGTTCCTTGAGTTCCCACAGTAGTGATTCCGCAGGCAGCACTGGTTACCACAACCCGGTCGCAAACATGCCAACAGGATCACGTTTTTTCCACCAAAAGCTACATATCCTTTCACCTATATCGGACAAGTCATCACAGGAGCAGGGCTCTGAGACGTCTGAAAACAACAAAAACAACAACTCGCAGAAAGCCTCTCCTGAAGAAAACACTTTGACCTCTACGACTCCCATGACTGAGCAGAATAGTTTCACCGTGGAGAACCCTACCGTACAGCTTCAGAAGCCTAAGAGAAGAACTCCTCAGAATAAAAATCTCATTAATTTAGGATTAGGTCAATGTTCTGGGGACTCAGAAACCCACCAAGGCTCTGATAGTGGGATCTCCATCGAGTCCCGATGTGGGATGGGAAGCAGTCTGAACCAGAACGTTTCTGTGGACCTAAACGATCTGCCCTTCGATATGCCCAAACTACGGAGACGGAGACTGGTGCAGCAGCCGGTCACATCCGTGCAGGATATGTCAGGATCTGCGACCTCAGTCGACCTGCGAGAACTTCCTTTTGACATGCCCAAGCTGCGGCGGAGGCTACGAGTAGTTCCTCCCAGTACAGAGTCCAGTGGTCTTTCTCAGGCTTCCTCCAGTCACAGTGTACAAGAGCCAGAGTCCACCAGACCAGAGGGTGAGTTAATTCAGCAAGCCAACATATTTTTAGGATCCTATAGTTTTGTAAATAATTGTATATTAACAACAGAAAACTTTGGGTACCATTCAACAGGTGCTGTAATAATATTGATTTGGAAAGGAAAAACATTTACACTTGTTAAGTATTTTGTCAAAAGTGATTTCATTTTTGATGTTTTTCACTCTTGATAAAATGTTTGAGTATGTTAATGAAATCAAATATACAAGATTTGGTTTTACAATATTCTTCTAGGTTAGCTGATTGATTAGTCATCCAATCATTTTGAAGTTACTGTTAGGTCTCTTTTCACTATGACATTTCCTATCACTGCACGGTAGGACTACTTTACTTTTAAAGTGTCATGCCTAATGTAGTATTACTTTAAAACCTCCAGTTTTGGATTGGTTTACTATAAATATTGGATGAAAACCAAAGCCTGAATCATTTTTTGTGTGATGCATATCTTAGTTATCTATAAGTAAGCAGGACTTCTGAAAGCGAATAACATAAGCTTAGAATTATTCTAATTATTCTACATTGTTCTCACAACTACATCTGATACCATTAAAAATATCAAATCCCTTGATAATGAAATACAAGCTTAAATCAGTTTCTTATTGCTGAACAACAATCGTTTCAAGCCATTTCCAATAAAACAAGTAGAAGTAGATTTAGCAGCAATCAATGTCTCCTCAAAGACAGCTCCTGTGGGTTTACGCACGGACAATGTTTGTCAACATTTGTTTGGCGAGACGAAGGACATTCAATTACCCGGCTCCATTCCTCGGTGAGATTTCCCTCCGGTCCTTCCATCCACATCTTGTGTAACTGACTGATTTAAAACCGCTTATGTCGACTGATTCTTTTGGGATTTACAACTGTGGAATTGCATGCATGCGATTGCCCCATCTCATTTCAGACAATTTACTTTGAGAATTCTTTGGGTCTTCTTTTTGAGTTTTTCTTAAGATTTAGGATGTTTTTCAATTATTGGCAATCTTGTTGAACCCTCAAGTTCCCTCTTGAAAATTATTAACCTGCTTCGTTTGTGGAATTTTATTTAAAGTTCTATTTAGCGCTTATATTTTTTAACCATGTTAGTAGATTGTTGAGTTGGTGAGGTGCAAGTTTCTGCGGTGACAGTGTGTATAATAATTGTTATTGTTAAACAATTGGAAATAAGAAAAACATTACTGTATAAGCTAAATGTGTCAGCATTCATATTGTTTTTCAAATATAAAAATAATTTTTCCGGTTTTAACACACACAAAATAGGTTATTGATCAAAATTTAAAAAATACAATATTTAAGAACTGCTCATTCAATCTTTATCTGCTAAGATTCCCAATACAAAACTGTAACGGGTCAAATGTGTAGGGGGTAAAATAACGGCTAAACCACGAACTTTAAACAGCTAAACATAAGCTGTTGAGTAAGCCTAGTCGCGACACTAAACTGACGTCGTACCTAACCTCCAATTCCAAGACCGCAGACGACGTTGGTGTCAGTTTGATTGTTTGGCTGTTCGACTGCGTCTGAGGCCGGGCTACGGGAGAGAAGATGAGCAGCGAGGTCACCTTTGAGCGGTACGCGGCTGTAAGCCTGTTAAAGCTGCCATGCGCCTGCCTTCGCTGCCAGTTTTTTTTTTGTTTCGGTAACTCGTTGACCAATCAGGAATCGTTTTAACTTTCGTCTCGATTCTGAGACGAAGGTGAAGTAAGAAGAAGTTTTGTGAAGTTTTGGTCATTCGTATTCCCGGCTTTTCGCGAGTTCGTTCGTTCGTCTTGAATTCTAAGTGATTTCATTCAATTTCTTCGTCGTTTTTAAAGTTACGTTTCAGCAAGCTCTGAAAGCTTAAGTTCGAATAGTTTTGTAGTGAACTTGTGCAGGAACATAGTGGGTTATAATTTCGTCGACTGGTGAGTTTCGTAGTTAACTTCTCTGGTTTTCGTATATTACTTGACCAGCTTTCGTGTACGAAGCTTGGTTGAACCTGAAGACTAGGCCTGATACGCAGACCTAGTCACACGCCTTAACCAACTAATTTAGTAAAGTATTGCAGTTGGTGAAATATATTTTCGCTTAACGTTTCTTAATCCGTCTTGGGACTTTCTTTTAATTTTTCAAAAACCCTTTTTAAAGTTCCCCAAACGTCCCAAAGCTTGTTCCAGCAGACAGGTTTCTGCTGGACATTTTCTGTCGAAGTTGGCTTAAGTTGAACACGTGAGGAAGTTAAAGTTTTAATTTTTCGTTTTCGGCTCAAGGAGCAGTTTTATTTTTAGTTTCAGTTTTTCTCTCGTTTCGTGTCTCACTTGGACAACTTAAGCCAACTCGTTTTCTTGTTTAGTAAATTCAGACTCTGTGGGAGTTAGGCTAGGTTAGGCCTATCTTGTACTAACCTTGTTTGTTTCAGGTTAACGACGTAACTCCGTAGGTAAGCGGAGTGACTACTTAGCTTACTTGTTGATTTGTTAAGTTAGCTAGTAGTGTGTCATTTAGATATTTGCCCACAGAGTCAAGTCAAAATTGTTAATTTCCCCACAAGCCCTAGGCTAGAGTGGTGATTTCTAGTTGGGTGTTTAGTAACCCGCAACGTTCGTCTCGAGCTCTGACAACCAGGGCTATCAAACTTAGGCTATCCGAATCACTATCGACTCCTGGGAAACTCCCCGCGACCAGACTAGGGCGAATCCTGGGATCCTCGTTTTCTTACCGGTGGCGTAATTTACCTCTTGTCGTCCGCCAGGAAAATTACGTCACAAAACATTTCTGAGATTCCCTCGTTTCACATCCCCTAGTAATATGTTGTATTAATTTTGGGGTGGATACCAATCCATCTTAGAAGTGATTGTTTTGGCATTATAGGGGAAATCCTTCAATCTGTCTTAATCAGTCTTCAAAATACCTCTTGGTTTTCTCATCGGTAAATCAAATCCATCAAGGGTAAATCCTACAAATGGTTTTTATATTCTTTCAGTTGAATTACTAAATAAAAGAATTAAGCCTCCATCCAAACACTTTACTTTGAATTAAAATGTTTGTGTGTTTTCAATGCCAATGGCATTTTTTAACGTTTTGAAAGGGAACAGTCCAAACCCTGGTCTTTAAACAACATCATTAATTGATAGTCCAATTATAAAATGGCATCTGTATCACACAATCTTGCTTGGAATTGACCCAGCGACCTTCAGATTTGAAGGCAAGCACTTTAACCACTTGGCTATCCAGACTATTGGTGTTGTCATATAGTAGAATAGTTTAAATTTGTACCCTGAGATAAATTTGATGTAATTCCTATAATCCATCATTGAGTGTTAAAAGACACGCCTTTGTCGCATTTCATCTCTCATGGTTTTTGTAAGCTGCATATAAATTATTTCATCAATCTAATATTTCATCAATCTGTGACATATAAACACTACACCCATGAGTAAATGAGGAAAGCTTCTTCAATTCATGACTTGCCAATTAATTGATATAAAAGTTCTTTTATTTTTTTGAGATTATTAGTAAATCTCTTTCAGAATGTAGAAATATCACTGGACTGAATAGGCGGATTTGGATTCAAGATGCTGGTAACTACCTATAATACCTATAGCTAGTGAGCTGAGTGGAAACAGGAGGTTGCAAGTTTGATCCTGAGAAAATTCAGTACCTAATGTTTAAAGCTAGGCCCAGCTGATCTTAACATGTTCGCTGCTGAAAACCTTTAAACAGGGCACCCCCCCACTTTAACCCTCGCAGTGAATGTGTTAATCCCTGACCTTTCAACATGATTCTGACTAAAGAAACAGCTGATTTTACTCAGTAACAAAGCTATCATCTCATCCATTCAAAATTCATCCCTCTTTGTCCTTGCCGTAAAATATATACTATGGTGTGTCCACATAAATCTAATCTATATAATCTTTTCATATATATTTTGTGTTTGCAGCCCTGGGACGACCTTCCCTCACACTAGACCTGGACCAGTGTCGCCAACCTCGGTCCCTAGGATTGAGTCTGGACCTTGGACCTTCCCTCCCCGCTTCCGACATCCAGGTGGACCTTCCACTGGAGAGGCAAGGGTATGTCTCCACATTTTAACATTAAAACACACATTTTTAGCATGCTGGCATTAAGAAAGGCATTGGCTGGGACAAAAGTAAAATGAATGCTACGATATTGATAGAAACTTCAAGTTGCATCCACTCTAACAAATAACAATGTTTCACCGTTACATGATATCCAGACTATAAAAAAAGGAAGACGTGGCTTTCCTATATTACACATATGCACACTCAAACAGGACCAGACATGATATCAAATTTAAAACTAGGCCTCAGATTTCACAATGGAATGGGAAGTCCACATCAAAAATTAAGGTTCAGTGCTATACAATTTTTACGACACATGCTACAACATGCTGCAATTGCCGAGTGCCAAGCAGGCTTTGAGTCTCAATGAGTGTATGTCTACTCACCATTGAACATCAATGTCGTTTTTTTTTCATGCATCAAAGCATACACATATTCCCTAGTCCAGAAGAACAGACCACTCGGAAAGTGACGAATGTTGGTCACCTCTGCTTGGAAGTACATAAATACTAACCCAAATATTTTGCCACTATTCAAAACTTTGGGCTCGGCAAATGCCCCATGTACGGATCCGCTTCAATGGAAGAACCGAACTACTAATTGTGTGCAAAGAATAGTTGATACTTTTAATTAGATACTATGCACTATCAACTTGATAGTGCATCAAAATATAAAACTGAATACCAGTATTAAAAAAAAAATACTTAATGTTAAAATGATTTAAACCGTTTGACTCAAAACAAGGTAATTATAAATGTCTATCCATAACCTCCAATATCCCGTGTGTACTTGTTCACTTTCTATATATATCGAGTTCCGAGGATTTATGAAACAGTGGAAGATGTAATGTTTTGCTGGCACACGTATAATATTTTGACAAGTATAACTAATGAACTGTGCGTTACAGATGGTACCATGGAGCCATCACTCGGCTGGAGGCCGAGAATGTCCTGAGACACCATGATGAAGGCAGCTACCTCGTCCGCAACAGCGAGAGTTCTCGACAGGACTACTCCTTGTCTCTCAAGTAAGCTGCATTGGATCAATCCACAATATTGAAAAGTATAGGGGGTGTAGATGGTTTCTCTCTGTGTAAGAGCTCGGGCTATGGTAACTAGACATACCGTTCTCAAGTGTGTAGCCTGTTTTAGAATGCAAAAGAAGGTTGAAGTGAACCTGGGATAAGGTGTACTGTAAAATCCTGACTCCGGTTGAATATGCCAACTGTTTAATAATGTCATAATGAAAGGACAACTTTATTGTAAGCTATAGAATCTTTGATGTCACGTCCAACTACCTAAGTATACCAATATACGGGGCAAATACAAATTCTGACTGCACACTATGAATACCTCAGACAAATACTATATTCTATTTAAAGAAAAATTTGGCTGCAGCTGGTCCATAAAGATGGTTACACTAAGGTAGATGAAAAAAGCATTAGCCTATTCTCAAATCTCCTCAGGCTTTGTGGTCACCCAAATTTTAAGGTTCGATATTGTTATATATGAAAATTGCAATCAAAAATAAAAACGACAATGCTCTACATATTTCTATTTGCTCGTTTTTTCACACAAATCGTACACTATGTACTATTAAACAAAAAATTGATTGATCAAACATTCAACCTGATTACCCTGACACATCCTTATACCATTTACTCAGTTAATAACTTTGTGTTTTTCCAGGAGTGCCCGTGGCTTCATGCACATGAGAATCCAACAATGTCGGGAGACGGGCAAGTTTATCCTCGGCCAGTTTAGCAGCCCCTTTGCCTCTGTGCCTGAGATGATACGACACTACACTGTCAACAGACTGCCCATCCGCGGAGCTGAACATATGTGCTTGAAACTCCCAGTCATAGAACAGCTGCTCTAGCTCTAGCCACTCTGGTGAGAATCACACTGTCATAGGAAATCCACTAACAGACCTCCTAACAGTCCTAACTGGCTGCAAATGTTGCACAAGGAAGTCCATTACAATGGAAATGCTTACTTTAAACACCTGTTAAAGAAATTTATACCAAGAAATGAAATTATTAAGGGTTTTGATATTTTGTGCAACTGGAGGCTTGAAATGAATACTATGTTCTATGTGGGTTTTAGAATTTTGTTTTTTTCTTCTCCAATATCTCTTGTGCTAGCAGTAGGCCTACACTATCACCGAATTTTTACCTCAAGTTGCGATGACGAATGCTGCTAAGCGTGAACCAAGAGTTCACCCAGTACTCGCTCGCCCATGTTCGCCGATGGTGATTAGACATTTTTTAACTTCCAGCACTCGCCTTCGCTCGTCTCCTTTGACTTGTCAAATAAAAGTGGAGCACAGGCGACCACGAATCATGGCAAGACAAACTATCCCGAGCGTGTAAGAGCAGACCAGATCAGACACACAATCGTGCTCGCCTATATTGGATTCGGCGGTAGTGAACTGTTAGCATTAGAGGGTTTGAGCAATTGTGAGCTAAATATTCTTTTTTATATTCACTGTAGATGAGCCATAACATTTCTTGGACTTATCTCTAAATCTGCTGTAGCATCAGTAGCATTATTTAGTTTGTGATGGATTTTAATTGGCGATCCTGCAATACTTTAATATCCGTTGTCTTCCATTCTTTCTGGTACAGAATTCCATTGGTTTCCTGATCCTCTGAATTGCAGTAGTTGTGGTGCTAGTTATGAGTTTTGTTTTTTAAACACATAGTTGTAATGACTGTAGGAACTTCCATGGTCCAAATTGTTTTTAGCGAATTTCCCATATAGGGAATAAGCTATTACCGTAGGTCTCATGGTAAGACCTAGACCCGGGACCGATTTACTTTTTCGTTTTGAGGTCTCCAGAGGCCAAAAACACCATCCGTTCAAATTCATATATATATATATTTATATATGTGTCCGTTAGCGCGATAACTCAAGCAAAATTGATCCGATTTTGATGAAATTTGGTACAAACGTGTAAACCTACATTTATTCGAACGAATTCGCAAACCAGCATAATCGGACCATGGGATCAGGGGTTTATGGGGGGTTTTATGGGGTAAAAATGGGTTTTTCTCATTTTTGACCCTAAAAACTTTAAATTTCTAAATTTCTCTCTATACCATTTTGAAGAGCTTAAAAAAAAAATAATTTAGTATATTGAAGTGTTTTTGAATGTTCATTGACTACGGAGAAAATTAAAAAAATTGTAAATTTAAAATTCCCATGTTATTCTTATGGAGAATAAATAAACTGTTTTAGTTTGCTTGTTTATGGATATATTTTAATCAAATTTGGCAATTTGGTTTATTTCATACTAAGCTATCAATATTTCAATTGAAAAAACACACCTCAACATCTTCCCCGTAGCAGCAAACCTAACTACTCACTAAAACTAATGTTATTTAAATAGGAAATAAATCTGAAAATATATAGGGAATATTTTAGAAGAAATCAAGCCGGGTAAATGGAAATTCGCTCAGTATGCAGGTTTGCTGCGACGGGGGTATTTTATCAACTCACAGAAATTTATGCTATTACATTGTTTATGTTCTGTAACAATCTGATTATCTTGCAGTCACTGTTTATTAGTTTCTTTATAGTTATGGGCCTTCTGGACAACTGAATTTGCTTGATTAATAAGTATGCACTACTTTAAATTTGTTAATTGTGATTATCTTTAATACTGATATACATGGATTACTTACAGGTAACAACTATTCCATCCACAATGTCGCTGTCCAAACTAAGGATCTCGCCAGTCAAGAAACCAAGCCAAAGAACTGATGTTTGCATTGTTATTATTAAGTTTATATTTTTGTTTGACTCCCTTAGTTGATTATTGTTATGTGACCTTAGGTTATTGTCTTGTTTGGATGTTGTTCAACTGTTTGTTCAAAGAAAGTTTTTTGAAAACTCTACATATCTTAGCCATTATTAGCTAATAATAGCATTGCTAGTTGTTTATAAAGAAAACTTCTTGGATCCAAAATTGGTAAACAATGAAAGGTTTGTTGTTACACAGGAATCTTTTGATAACCAAAAGAATGTAGTGAGTGACTTGTAGAACTACTACGAAGAATGTGCAATATTTAACATTGAAAGAGTGAGTTGAACTTATAAATAAGAAAACTACTTACTTCCATTTTCTAGCCATTACCACTAGCTCAACTGATCTTCCATTACATTTATTGCTGTGAAGAGTCCAAAAATTGTTAAGTGATTTATCACTTTACTTTTTTTACCTCTGTTAACTGTTATTTACCAGATGTTTTACAATGCAAACTCATCAAGTGACTGAATTTGTTTTCTAACATAGAATAGCAATCAAGAACATTGTTACTCAAACCCTTTGTTTCATATTGAACTGTTTTTAAGTTAATTGTGTGTAGCCTAATTTTCATTGAATTTAGAATTCTTATCACGAATCCACATTTTAATACCTAACATTCTGTCATAAAAATAAACAGATTTTGCGTATTCAACTTTCCAGTGAACCACCCTTTTACAATCAGACCTTATTGTACTTAGTTCTTCATAACCTCTCATTTTTCAATATGAAACACAAGGATTATCAAAGGTAGAAGCCCAAATACTAACTGTATAGACAATACTAGCTTGGGCAACTCATGTATATGATGTGTGTGTGTGTTGTATCATGTAGTGATAAGTAATTTTAACATTTGTACCAAATTATAAGTTACCATTACAACTATAATTTTGTTGAGTTAAATTTCACTCGTTGAACTAGCATACGATTTTTAGAATTATTTTGTTTATAAGTATGTAATAGTTCTGTTTTTACAGTACCGGTAGCTATATTTGGAGAAACTTAATAAATGCTATGTTTTTAAAACTCGTTTTTACTTTTCTTTCCTTAAAACTTCCAATGGATTGAATCATTCCAAAAACATAGAATAATCATAAACACAAGATTAAAGTGAATTATTTTGTTGTTAAGTCTTTAGAGCCTAGACATTTGAACAATTAAAAAACTACATAGAAGATTTCTAATCTCACAGGCCACTAGATATTTAAATCACAATCACTTTGGTATTTGAAAACATATTTTGAGACGGTAAAAAACTCTTCACTGGATGTTTGAAATTAATTAACATTGCTATTGTGCGGGCAAATCCAAGATGGCCGTTGGCTTCCATGTATTCCAATTTCACAGTCTCCTAGATATTTAAAATATAAATATTTTTGGATCAACTCTTTAAAATTATCCAAGATGACCCAAGCCTCCAAGGACTCTTAAGGCAAAGGTACACTAGTTGGTGAAATCGGACCTTAGTATTTCATTATGAAAATAGTATATGTTGGACACCTCTCTACAGAAGAATACCCAAAAATATTTCTACCTAGTTAGTTATTAATCAGAAGCTTTTAAGCTTCCCATGACAAACCAGTTCTACCTTGAACCAAACTTTGCTCCCTGAGTCACCCTAAAATGGTTTGACTGTATTCTTTACATATTCCATCAAAAAGCATTTACATTTTCTATGCGATCATTTTGTTTAACAAAATTAGTGCTACAATAGCACACACAAGCTGTGGATGGTAACACATTTGTAAGGGGTAATAAAAACAACAGTGTTCTGCTGCATGCATAAGTATAGGTTTTATTTTTTATGTTTTTTCAATATTTTACTTAGTTTGGTCGATCTCTCTGGACCCATTAGCAAGTACACCAGCTGTGATATGGTCTAATTGACAACATACGCTTACTGCACCTCAAAACCATCAAACTGTTTGTGATATGTTTCAAAGTAAAACTTACAACCTCCAGTTAAAACTATTGACAGACATTGATTTCTTAAAATCAAACTCTAAAAGCAAGCCCCGAATTAGGAAATTCTTGTCAACCCTGACTAGTTAAGAGTGCATTTTGCAGCTCGAGTCACCGATGTAACGTTATTTTAAAAAGCACATTGAATGTAAATAATTCTTTCGTACTTAAAGCGCACATTACAAAGTATCACCGTTCATTAAATAAAACATTCTCATTCCAGATTTCATTAAAATATTAGCATACAAATTTTATTAAAAAATCTTTTCTCGTAAAACCTATAGATACATTCAAAATGTTTACAAAACCGCGGACTAAATCATCGACAATAATCTATTCTGTTGAGGCACACAACACACATACGCGAGCCTGGTGTACGCACGACAGGCGCAGCCAATTTCGACAATTCCTTCACTTCAAATAAATATGTGGACCGACAGACTCGCCGTCGGCCCCAGCCCTCTATGTACACTGTGCTTATCTTTTATTGAGCTTTCTTATATACAATACTACTAAAATGGAATTATGTTAATAAGTATACAGTCGAAATACAATATACAATACATAACTTATGATACAACCTTTCGAATAAAGAGGAGCGAACAGAACAGAACAGAAAAGTACAACCGATGATATACAATCGACGTTTCAACAACTAATGACAACCGTATAAGTACATAACATAAACGAAAACACCGTCATTACAGATTACAATTGTCACTTAAGATCTGGCGATGGAGTTTGACTCTATAAGGCAACAACAAAATAAATTAATACAGTTGGCATCGGACCGCCGACAGGGTCTAATGGCGGTCCGATAAAGCGATTTATACAATACAAATATACAATAGAGACAAACTTACAGTAACGATATTTTGACGAGTAAAGAAAGGAGTAAGAAGTAACAACAAAAGAAAATCACAACAAAATATACATTAACTACCACAACCGCATTTCCTAATTATATGTTTTATTTTTTTGAGCTGGGAGAAACTGTTACCACTACTTAATTACTACCTACCGACTAGCTTAGCTCTCTGTGTCGATTTGAACGAGCGGCGAACCGTCACAAGGTAAACAAAATGGAATGGATACGATAACGGCAAGAAAATACACCAAATAGTGGTACACTAAATCCCGCACTTAATTTCACAAAGCACAGTGTACAATACGACTTTCAAACCGAACCTCGTAGGAAGAAACATCGAAAATAGGCAAAATGGTAATATATATCGATCTAACCTCTTAAACATAGTATTACTTGGCTAAATCATAAGAGGGGTCCTAGTCGAATACCGCAAGTCCAGTCCTCTATATTACAATACTCATGGCAGTCCAGTCAGTCTCCGCGCAGGGAGATTGTCATTGTCCTGATCAGTGATCACAGTGACGGTAGTTGGCCACCCAAGCTCCACCCGTTTGCAGCAGCCTGCCCCGCACCCGCACCCACGATAAGTTGAGATTCAATCACTCATTACGACGAGAGTGCGGGACAGGGAGCGCGGGATTAAATAATTCGATTTAACAGGAATTTGTAGCAGGATTAACTATTTCAAATATTTAAAACTAATGCGTAAAAAGAATGCACTACTTTAATTGTAAAAATATGAGCATTCGTAACACACGACCTCTCAAACCTCAGTTTGTATCCAGACTGTTCTAATCTATAAATATTTTCTAACAACAGTTAAATTTTTACATTTTATAAAATTTTTACATTGAGTACTAAAATCCTCTTAACTCTAAAGATGTCAGAAATTTTATGAGTAATGGATTAAATTTGAATTAGTATATTTGTTGTAATGTTGCTAACTTTCAAGTTACAGCAACTAATAATACTTTGTAGAGACTTAAGTTTGGTTACTATTAATCCTAGAAATATATGTTTATAATGTTGTAAACACAGGGTTCTCAAACAATCAGTAATGTTTTTTGCATTGAATTAATTTTTATTTGTGGATGATTTTGTCAAACGATTTGTACCACAAATTCCTGACATCTTAGTTTAACACAGAATATATACATATGTAAGTTTATTATCAGATTATAAAAGACCCATTTACAAAAAAGATTTAACACTTATATGAAAAAAGAAAACTGTACAAAGTCTCACGCAGAAGATTTGTCTCGCTACACTATACATATGTAGGAAGTGGTGCTAAGCACCAGAAATGTGGAAATTTGTAAAAAAATACTCTTTAATGCTCTCCACATCCAATCGCAGTTGTGTAATCCATGTCTTGAATATTCTTAGCTAAGCTTTAACATGTTCTGCTGTTTGTTAAATTTACTTATTCATACAACAAGGGGTATTCTATAAACACAACAGGAAAAATTACAAGAAATAAAACTTTGATGTGAAGTTTAGTTACAGAGAGGATATGTTCATGGTTTATAAGTTCGTTTAAACAATGCTACCATATTTGAATGCATTGCTACTAGTTTTTAGGTCTTGAGTTGCATTAAGGAAAATGAAAAATATTATTTCCATAGTTTTTATGTTTTTAAAAAGATATATTTATGAATTATTACTGTTATATAGAACAGCAAAAGAGTAAAGCTAGTTAAAAATGTCCAAAACTTGGAAAATACAAATAGTAAAAAATGTTTGATTAAGTACAGTGTGTACCTAGGCCTACCCACCTGGGTTAGCGGAATGTCTCGTCCATAAGTGTACTTTAAAGCTTCGAGATGACAAAACTCAATCAGACCAATTAGTATTCTAAACTTTTAAAAGGATTTTTTAAATATTTATGGCACGTTTCATGCGTTTGATAACTTTTATGAAATGGACAATCGACATTCACACGTACCACAGAGGAAACAAACTGTAAATGGACTCGAGAACGGCTGGATGTTAGAAGGACGGTGGAAGAGTGATGGAGTAGGTTACTTTTATAATCTATATCGAAACAGCAAAAAATTTTACAGAAACACACTAAACACCGATGATTATTGCTTAACACAAAATACTGTTAGTAAAGGCAGAGCGAATGATCATCGTGAAGAGTAATTGTCGTTGTATCATGAATCAACAACAAAGTTCGCTAATTTACCGACACGCATTATTGCGATAGTGTCAGTCGTAGATGCATTTGTCGGAACCAAACATATCCGGAACTAACACACGGCCTCCGTTTGTGGTTCTAGCGGAAGACGAGACAAAGTTATTACTTGGACATTTAGTAATTCTGTACACAACAGTAAGACCCATATGTTCAACAATTCAAACAGCAACACTGAGCGGATCAAATGATTTTTTCCAGCCATAAAAAATAACAGAGTAAATTTCATGCATCAAGCAAAGAGTCGTGAATTGTAGTGACTAATGGTTCGGATATAATCAGTGCACTAAAATAATTTGTTCTTTAACTCAGGTCGAACCTTTAAAAAGATTGTCATACGTATGTTTTAAAGTGATCCTCATGTTTTTCTTCATTTCCTTTCATTAATTACTTTATTACATGCCACAATAAATAATTTTCTAATACCCCATTGAAGTATTTCTGGTAGATGTGTAATCGTACCTGGCATTTGTTTCACAGTTCATTTCAATTTCAGTATTGTTTTTTTCCTGAATGCAATATTCAAAACTCCATTTTAGATACTGAATAAGATTTATAACATATGCATATAGTTTTTACAAATTATAAGAACAAAAATTGCTTTTGATAACTGTATGTATTTAATAAGATGGAAAAAATCACTTTACTCCCAGTGCTTACGTGATTTAAATATTTTAAATACTAACTGTTGTACTTCTGTTGCTCTTTGATAAAATTTCCAAAAACAAACACCAAAACCCTTTACAGGAGAAAAATTATGACGTATATAAATTAAAATTAGAGAATTAAATACAGCGTACCGAGCCAACAACATTAATGGCACAAGAGCCCTGCACTGAAATATCACTTGAAAGGCTTCCTATCTGATAGGTCTGAATAATAAGGAACAGTACACGATTACTACTGCTGGATGAAATTAAATTTGTTGTTTAAATGCCTCTACTATTACAGTAAAACTTTTTAAAATAATGTTTCAAACAAATAATTTACTTGTCTACTAACAAACAAATATAACATATTCAAAATATAATGCGTACATTTTTTCATTCAACGAAATTCAGGTCAAAAACATAACTATCAGAACTAACCTGTAACAGTTATTCTTTTTGTGATGGTAAAACAACATTAAAACCTGTTCAAACAGGCATTTTACTAAAATTTAACATTCAAAATTCATAATTTTTTCACATAGAAAATAAATACAAATTATATGCAAAACAATCACTTACAAACGGATAACCAGCATCGTCATTCTACGGTTTGAAAACCGAGTTAAATACATATTTAACACAAATCTTATATACATTGAAGATCCGGATACAGAAACTAAGCTGGACTAGAACATCGGACAACGCAAGTAAGGCAGCTGTTGGACAAATGTTAGAGATGCTCCATCCTGAACGTCCTGTGGTAACTGTTCAAAATAGCGGGAAACAGCGACGATCGCCGACGCCGATAACTTACACATAAAATTAACTGAGCTAACGAAATTGACGAACCTACACACGACGTTGTGAACAAATCAAAATCATATCCGATGTTGGTGTGGTGCGGGTGGAATGGGTGGTGGGCGGCTACGTCGAATGTGCCTGGTCGTATTCCAGGACCAATCTCTTGATGTGAGACAGCTTCTCGTGCAAGTACTGGAACCTGTTCCTCGCATTTAGGTGGTCTTTGTCTTTTTTGCTTTCTTTGTATTCTTGTAGGATCTGTTGTTTAATTTTCTGTAACAAAATAAATGTTCATGTAATACTGTTTTCAGGCAATTGCCACCGACAGGACATTATCGAAGTTCACTACTACCACAGAAAACATACTACTATAACCCAGAATGCTAACCGCATGGTAAAAAGCGTTAATTACTTGGAGAGAGCTTTGCCTGTCAGTTCATATGCAGCACCACTAGCGTTAAAATGCACCAGCATAGCAACGCTGGTGGCGCTGCCTACAAATTGATAGGCAAAGCTCTCTCCGAGTACTTGCGGTTAGCATTCTGGGTTATAGTAGTATGTTTTCTGTGCTACTACATATATAAGAAGGTGGTTCAGGCAAAAAGTTTTTCTAGTGGGATTTTAGGTATATTAAAGCGATTGCATAGTCGTCTGAAAAGTTGATGATACCCCAAACACGATGCATGATCACAATTTTGCTGCTATTGTGGGAGATTATAGGTTTCAGTTTTGGGTTCAAAGTTATGAGGTAGGGCAAAAGTTTTGAAGAAACGAGCATCGAAGTCCATCCCTGTTTTTAAGTTCTTAGCATGAAATCTAAAAACCTATTCTGAGTATATCATCATAGACAGAATTGGTATACAAGGTTCAGTGGGCACGCTGTTTCACAATCGATTAGCATTGATAAAATGCAACATTATGCAAGGTAAGTTACTTTAAAGTAAGCTCAGTTACATTTTGGAATCAAAAGAATTGGTGAGCAAATCATACTACTTTATGTAGGTACAGTTACAATAAAACCAATCAAAGTCAAGTTAATGCACAACATTTACCTTATAGCCTTCACTATCCTTTTTCTCTTGCAGTAATCTCTGCTCGAGCTGAGCGAATTTGCTAGAGACTTTAGCCACGATGGCATGAAGACTCCTATACTCGTTGTAGTTGCTGTTAAAGTCATCCTTGTACCTGCGGCGCTGTTCTACGGACGTGATGGGCGTGTAGTCACTGTAAAATGCCAAACAGATGAGATTTTATTGAGCGTGCGATACACCTTATGATTTTTGACCAAATCACACACTTTACAGTAAAATGAAATTAGCCTACAGTACAACTCCCAGCAATTTCTAACCTAACTTAACATGCTCAAAGTCTCACTGTAAAAACTATACATAGATCAGCATGAGCACATCTTGCTGTTCAGACAATTATTACTTCCTCAGTAAAAGATTAAAACAATTACAGTGAGTAAAAAAATTCATGCATTTTTAAATAAACTGTGAGAGTTTGAGTACATCTGGAGCCAAGTATTGAGGGAGATATCTGAGAGCTGCCGAGTCAAAGTTCCTTTTAATTTCTAAAGAAAGAATTTAGCCGCAACTCACATAAGAAACTTGTAGACCGGCGTGCTGGGAGGGTGAGGATGAGGGTGAGGCGCTGGAGGAGTGGCGTGCTTCTCTGGGCTGGTGGTAGAGTCTGGCAGCTGCTGAGGGGTGGATGGAGGTCGTGATAATGAGTAGCGACTGACAGCTGACGACTTGGTGAACACCGGGCTCTCACTCCGCGAAAACACCTGCAACCCAACAAACAACTTAGCCAACTTACCACTACCGGTACCACTCGTTTAATTGAAAATAATTCAATGGCTAACAAACAACTTCACAAATAGAAACTGTGACTTATTTTTCAATCTTATGTGCCAAAAAAGAATGATAAGGGTTACAGTAAAAAAAAACTATAGTGATAAATATGGAAAATAACTATACTGAGAATCTTTCACTGCCAAAGAATAGTTAAACTTGTGGTATAACATAACAAAATATCTAAGAACCAATCTAACCAGACCTAGGAACCGTCAAAAGACTACAAATCGCCTTAGGTGGTATGTATTCCTGAAGAGCCTATTCAAATAAAAACAAAACAAGATAGTGTTGTAATAGCAGTCTTCCATATGGTATCTGGATGTGCAGGGATTTGGTATGCTTTTACTAAATCTAACAGAAAAAATGTTATTCGCCTGAAAGGATAACCAAAAAATTGAGAATGTTTTGAACAGGATACCTGTCAGGAATGGTGCAGACATTCAAACTACGGTAGTCTCCTCACAGTCACCATCCAATTCTCTTTTAGATGCCAGATGCAGGGGTGAAGCCCACAGCCTGTCCGATGTGCATGCTGCACCACTTTTGACCATGTAGGTGAATTCACCCTTTGCGATGATGAGCTTTTCACTTTTTAGTTACCAGTCATTGTAGTCAGCATAATACCGAAGATCCTGGAGTCGTGCGTATGTGATGTTCTGTCTGGTTCTTCACTTTCCGAGGTAGTTCTGGCAGGCGAGTAATTTCAGGGAATTCAAGTAATATTTATAAATAGGACCAGTAGTGACTACTGATTTCATGCTACTTTGACTTGTAACGGAAATTTCTCCCTTGTAATAAGTCCAGTTTTGGCATCATGAAGTCACAAAAAACGACAGCAAGCGAATGGTAGTAACTGAGGAAGTCCAAGTCAGAGTGAAGACCTTGATCCAGTGTTATAGAGCAAGTTCCGTAGGTCTTGATAGTACAACCGTTTAAAGTCGGTATATACATGACGGTCTAATAACATTGGATAACATGATAAGTCGGAGCCGATGTCAATTAAGGATCACAGTTAAGACATTTTACCCATGACAAGCAATCTGAGACTCTATATCCCAGAACAAATCATATACGATGTTGGTGTGGTGTGGTCCTCTTGACAAAGTCAGCCGCCGCTGTTACTGGCCATCCTTGGAGTTTACTGTGTACCAGCACAGAGGTATTCATTTTGACGTGTTCTCACAAAACTTCCCATGATTAATGGCTGGTAGATTTGAAAATGCCTATGAGTTTGTTCAGATTTTATTGTGACGACTGGTTGAACAATTGTGAAGAAGGGATACTTTGGGTGCGTCAATCCAATGCACCAGCCTAGCGATAGCAGCAGTAAAATCATCATCAGACTGTGTGTGTTCACTGGTCTAAATGTTCAGCATTTACTGATTCTTGGAGAGTGCTTAGGGAAACTTCCATGATTTTGTCAGCAATATAGGCAAGTTTCTTAGTTGTTTGTTCATTTTGATCCGTGATAATCACTTGAATATGGTTCGGAAGACGAAATAGAGGGCTCGAAGAATACTGTCCTGCGGTTGGGCCAAACCGATCAGGGTAAAAAGTTTACTTATATTGCAATGGGCGATCTCTGATGTCCTCGTTGCTGATCAACTTACAAACGTGTTGCTCTTCACTAGCAGACAGTCTCTCAATTAGTTTCGAACAAAGTACGGCATAGAGAGACGATACGGGCGGATAATTATGGCTTCGAACTCCACTGCATAACTTGTTTCAAGCCATGAAATTATGTACTGAAAGCAGGTGTCATGGTCATGATGTTTGAGACAGTGAACTGGGAATCTACCTGAGCAAACCATTAACTAGGTCGATCAGTCCATCAGCCCAGAAAGGTGGAAGCTTTACTGCAACTCGATGAACAGACATATTACCAGAGTCTTTGCATTACTGAACGTTAATAGAGTATTCAATTTCTCGCTCTCGTAGCTTCTATTTCTACTAGCAACATTGGCGATTATTAAAAAAAAAAAATGCTGTATTTTTTGTAATTGTTGTCGGATCACCAATAAATTGATGTAATATGAACTAATATGAATGAACTATATAAAATAGTGCAATACTATATGAACAAATATTTTACAACAGTTTTGGCTTTGTTACAGCCATCACAAGACCAGTTCATCAGGACAGGGTGTCAGACGACGGGCACTATTACTGGTTGTCTGTGACAAGGCCAAAAGTCAGCCCTAGTTTCTGTCTGTGACACAATCATGCCAAAACACCTAGTTTTTAGTTAATTCTTACAGTTTTTTTTTTTCATTGAAAACAAACTGATTAGTTCTGCAACTAATAAAACAACAATGCATTAGGCAACTTAAAATAACAAAATAGACATTGGCGTACCTCGTCGGCTTTGCGGTTGTGAGCGATTCGCTGGCGTTTGGTAGGCAGACCGTCGGCACCATTGTAGTAACCGGGCCGCTTGTGGGCGGGGGGAGCCTCGATGGCGGAGGGGGGACTGCCGGGGTGAATGCTGGAGGGGGATTGTCCACTACTGGCTGAGCTGCCACCGTCACTGCTACCCGGGGGTGTCAGGTTCTGAGGCTTCCGTCTAAACAACAACAACTCATCACAATACTGCAACTAATCCAACTGTTGGAAAACTGTGTGCTTTATAAACTAAATTGTCATGTAGCTTTTAAACACACTCCACATTCGACTTGAGTTCCAAACACTGATACATGTTAGCCGCTTACCTCTTGAGCATCTGTCGGTCTTGTTCCGTAAAGAACGGCCAGTCTTCCTGCACGTCGTTCCACACGTGCCGCATCAGATGGTAAGTGTTGTCTCTAACAGTGGCTATACTGGACAGTGTGCTCATCAGCAGAGACTTGTCCTTATCTCTCACGCCCTCTGCAACACCACAACATTGTCAACAGGTTTGCAAACATATGAAACAGAGCTAGGAGTGCAATTGTGGATATGTACAGTAAGACAAAGAACCAACACTTATTTTGAAGAACTTTTAAATGAATACAATGAACAAAGATGAAAAAAAATTAAGAGAAGCATTGATCTGAGCTAGCTACAAGCTACAAACACATTACAATAAACTAGCTTCTTATACACTGGAAAATTGATCAAATCCAACTGCAATTTGAAAATTACAATAATTATTATTGGATGGAAACTATTAAAATCTTAGCATTGTTCTTATCTAATGTATGACCTTTGGTTGGTTTTGGGAAGGCCGGCTAGGTGCAGTTAGGTGGAACTTATAATTTTACACATGTGAGTATTTTGAAAATACTTTGACTAATTGAGCACAAGTTGTCCCCAGGTAAAAAAGTATATAAAACCGCTACGTAATTTCTCACCTAAGGACAGGATTAGATTCTAGATCCGAAAATGTGAAAACTTGTATTCCTACTATCTTTGATAGAAAATGTCTGCAGTAATTTCTGAAATAACATAACTCTACTATAGCCAAAAATGAACATTACATGTAGAACTTACCTTTAGTGATTACACTGTATAACTCTGGTTTTTTGTAAGGCCTAACAGCTAGCAAATGAATTAGTCGATCCCTGAAACAAACAATGACCATAAGACCTCCTTGATCATTTTTCAAAACCATTTAAACAAATTGTGTCCTTAGTTTATACTTTTTCTAAATCTTCAAACACCTTTGACAGCAAAAACACTTAAGGAGTGGGTGCTACTTAGACATTTTTATATTTTTTTAAGTACCTCTCAAATCAGTCTATTAGCTTTAGCCTCTTAGTTAATCATAAAGCAGCAGAACATCTATTTATCTTCATTTCCTTTAAGGTGTTAAAACTATCTGTGTGTTGGAGCTGTACAGTTAATAAAATTTGTAATATTTTGATAGACTAAACTCTTTGGTTCTACGATACTTCCTTATTGGTTCATGGCCAATCATCAACCCTACTAATAAAACAACCCTACTAATAAACTAATATCCACTTTTGTAAGCCCAGATTACCTTGCCAGGTAATCTGCACTCTTGAGGAGCTATGAGCATGTTTGACTGTCATCATTGCAAGTCCCAGCATAATACATAGACTGTTCCATATAAAGTAAGACTGCAGTAGGGTTCTGGTCCTGTTAGATCGTCTTCTGATTCCTTCTTGACGGTTTATTTACACAATCTCTTTCAGTCTAGTTGGAATTATTCAAAGTAGTTTGACTTCAAGGATCCTAAACCTCTAAGATTACAATGATTGAGAAGACGGATCTTACCATTGTGGCATGTGTAATAGACAATAGCTAGGATGTGTGCATACCTGATGGGCCTCCTCATGATATCCGGATTGCCAGGTTTCTGCGCATGGTTGTTACCCTGAGGCTTGGTGTGTGCGGTGCTCGGCGTGTACAGTCCGTTGCGCGGTGGCACACACGCTGACGGCTTGGTGTTGTTGTTCCGCCTGTACTTGCGAGACATATTGTCTAATTCAATCTCCCTCGTACTGCAACACAAAATCAAGATGAATCTGTTGTTTCAAAAAACTAAATTTTGTCAATCTCAACTGAAAAAGTCTTAACCAAACTTTAACATTTCTAAGCTTTTATTTTTTATAAACCTGTTCAACGAAATAAAATAATTCTATGGATCGTGTTAGCAACAAACAGGATGCACATGGACACAAAAAAACTTCCCACACCAACAGCACTTTTGTTTTCTTGTTTTGTAGTCATCTCAACAATCAATCAGTTGCCGTGGATTAATTTAATACTACTAACGTCGGGTGGTTAGACTCTCAGTCTTGTTCAGAGCCAGTCTCTCATCCCTCCCTACAAGCTATCCTAATTGACATAATCTTTGCGATTACTCGTTCTACAAATTAGCCTGTTACACATCATCGCCAATAATATCTTAAGGTACAAAAGTTAATTTAACTAACAATTTCTGCATGTCAAATCTTCTATGCCTGATTTACAAAGGTCGAGTAAACAATAGGTGAAGATTTGACATGACTTTTTTTCAGATTTTCTTACAAACAATTTTGTTATGCTTTTAAAGTATTATTTAGGCCTAATTGCCGCAAGCATGCTAACAAACGATGATAATAAGATTTTGTGGTTGTCCCGGCGAAAACTCTGGCAATATATTTTACTACAGTCTAAAACCAATTCAATTAATTGTGCTTTTATATTGAGTAGGCTGAAGCACAAACAACTTACTTTCAACCTATATAGAAAGATTTTATAAAGAAAAGATAAGTCATAGGTGTTAAAATAGAAAGTTGCAAGCTCCAGCTGCAGCCGCTCAAGCTTATTCATAACTGAAACCAGTATGATTTTTCACTTCTCTGGCTACTATTCTAGACCATTCTGAACCCACGTGACGATTTGTCTCTTTAGTAAAAACGTAAACTGAACCTAGCCAAAATCGGATTTCACCGAACTATGAAGCGTTTAGATAGAACATAGTTTAGCAGATGACAATGTGACGGAAAATTGTTACAGCAGAGAAACTAATTGCCACATATGGGTGGGGTGGCTAGAATATTAGTTAAGGTCCAATTCCTATGTGGTATCTGATACATCTGTAGTCGCGCGGCTCTAGCCACGTTTAGAGCCGTACGGCTCGAGACGCTCGTCCTATGCCGCGACTCCCGCAACTAGTAAGTAGTACAGTTGCACTCTTGATCGTCATGGATAAGCACAGTTGGCAGTGAATACATTACTTGGAGAAAAAGAGGAAAAGGAAATATTAATGTGCTTGGTAAAAAACAATGAACAACCTAATTCATTGTCCATGGCACGGCAAAAAGAAGGGTTTCAGAGTATTCTCATTCAGAGACACCTTCTTCAGGTATTGGGGGTGCTTGGGGTTGAAAACGGATGGGTCGTGACAAACCAGTTCAATCAATTTTGAATCACCCATGAAGGCACACACCTCAAACTCTGTATGTATAAACTATAAATTCATTACAACCGCGCGACCGTAGTGACTGAACTGCTCACAGAGCAGTCGATTCTTAACGACCCTAGCCGTGCGGCTCTAGTCACTCCAGTCGCGCGGCTGTAGATGCTCGATAGGAATGCGTTGCATTTACTTTGAATAGAAGCAGTCAATTTTAACAGCCTAGACTAGAGTCGTATAAGTCGCAGGATAGGAATTGGACCTTTAGGGACGTCAAATTTGAAACAGCTTGCTTGGCTGCGAAAACTGCTTGTCAGAAATATAAAGAGAACCCTCATAGATTAGAATTCGCAAAGAAAGCCTACCAAGTTATCAATAATGTATTGCATGTTTCATTTGTTTAAATTGTTTATTAACAGAACTAGACATTTCATTCCCATGTTTAAGTTGTTGCTAGTTTTCAAATCAAAATAGATGTAGTTAAGTTAAATTTAGCCACCAAAGCGCAGGTAGAAATTACTAATTTAAGTCGAATATTCTGACTTCTTAACCAGGTCAAACTGGCATGACAACTTTTTGTAAGCTATCTCTTATGTCACTTCAACTATCTCAGAAACAAAATATAAGTTGTAAAATAGAACTGTAGACACTAACCCACTCTGGGACTGGTTTATTCAACCATGTTCTTCTTCAATACAAAACCTGGTTCTAATAGATGGAATGTCTACTTCAGTAACCAAAGGTCAAAGACATTACTCACCACATCTGCTTGTGCTGTTGCTCTGCAGCAGCCATTCTATGCCTGGTGGCCTCATACACATCATCCTTAGCCATTATCCTCATCTTGCAGTGAACCGCCCCCAGGCTCTCCAGGCGACTAAACATAAATCAATAATATACAACAACTATTTCACATTTTTAAAGTCTTAACAGGTTGCCAAATGGTTTATTAAAACTACGTGTGATCTTTTGGAAGTAAAAGTATCATGCAGAATTCTGTACAGTAAAACCCCGGTTAACCGAAATAAAGGGGGGAGAGCCGTTTCAGATGACCAATTTTTTGGTTAAACCATCATATGTTAAAAATAGCCAATGTAGCACCACAGTGTGTAGGAAAAATGAATTTAAGAGAATGTCTATATAATTCAGTGTTTTATTTCAGCTACAAATATCTTACAATGGGATAGAAAATACTTTCAACCAGACAGCTGAAGTTCTTAAAGCATTTTACAGCCCTATATTATTTTATAGGACCATTTCGGTTAACCCGGTAATTCAGTTAACAGGGGTTCTACTGTACTTGAACACAGAGCATAGGATACAAAGGATAGTACTAGTTTATGGAACAACCGTGCGCTTTTAGCTCCAGTATATTCGGGCGGAAATGAACTTAACTAGTGTTGAGCAAGGAAGAGCCGGGCGATGGCCACATAGCTTATTTGTACAGCAGTTGCAGCGCACAGGGTATTTTTACAGGGCGACTGCTGTAGTAAAAAATGGCAAGAGGGGAAAATAGAGCGGAATTGGATGCTGAATAGAATTTTATCTAGACATCAGCGACTGGTGCTAGACACCACTTAAGTGTACCATTGAATGTTTCCTCTGTATCTTCTTTGTGGCTTGAAATAAATGTTTTGAATGATACAAAACTGCAACATACAGTCTATGCTAGCAGCAAACAACACGGTATTACTTTCATTTCTCATTTCATTTTTTTTTAGGTTGACAATGATGGGAAACTACAATGGGGGATAAGGTGCAAAAGAGTATGCAGAAACTAAACATATTTGTCTTGGAAGCCAAATGGTTTTAGGCTTGCCTTCAAACCTGAATGTTGATGGTTTGATTTCAAGCAAGATCGTTGAGCCAGACACCATTTGCCATTGTGCTATTAATAAATTATGCTATTTATTTAACAAACGTTTGATGTTTGTATTGTTCCCTTAAAAATGGCAATGACGTAGATAAATACAAATATAGAGATACACTATTGAGACATTGAGACGAATGGCAAGCAACTTTTGGGGAGGTTGAAACCCTTTTATGGACTTTAAGAGGTAACATAGAAGGTAAGAGAGATATAAAAACCAAAGACAATCTTGCACTACTGGGTAGTGACGTGATTTCACAGGTTTATAAGTCGACTGTCTCAAGTGCAGCAGTTGTATATAATTGACTTGAATAGTTTAAACTGCCAAGTTGTAAATAGCACAACGAAAAGCAGGAAGAGCAAGCCAGAGTGCAGGTGCGGCAATGTACCTCAGTAAATCAAACTAGCATCAGCAACGAGTCACGGCTGGCAACATGCCTTTCACTCCTCTAATCACTTTCCATTCTGTATGATCCGTGTGTCATTTACAAAAAAATCACACAATTTACTTGAAATGCATTCCTTTATTTAATAATTTAAGCATCTTCACTTTAGATTTTCAGTAGTAAAGCCTTTATTTTTTTAAGGTTTCCAGATGCAAAACCTTTTTTCTACAGATTTTTACTTGTCAATCCATATTCTAATATGACAATTAACGTTAAAATTGTAAATGAAACACCCTGGGTATTGTATGAATTGTTTAAAATTGAAATTGAATTTTAAGACTTTTCTATTCTTGTGGTTTCACAGTTCCTAATGGCCAACAGTAAGCTCACCTGGGACCGGTCTGCTGGATGCATTCAAAACTCCCCTGAGGACCTTCGATGTCTTGGTTGGAAGATAAACTGAAATTGAACCTAGCTGCATCTCCTCGACACGTTGGGAATGACAAGTGCTGAAACACAAGAGAAACGTCTGAGAAACTAGACAAACTCACACAGTAATGTGTAAAAACGAACAAAACAACAGACAAAATACATAAGATATACATTTACATTAAATGTAAATTTTATAACTGTAACCTTTAGTTAAACATTTAAGTTTTATATCCCGAACATCATCAGGTTTTATTAGTTCTATCCATGGTTTAAAATTTTTCATCCAATATTGTTGCAATAAGTTCTGTCATTTATTTTCCTATTTAGCCTACCTATTAACTTTGACTATGGATACACTGTTGTCAAATGGACATTTTGATCAAGTTTCAGTTCTAAACAGAATTTTTACATTTGAATTTGTCACCTACAGTTTAGTTTGTTCAAACAGTTTTCTATTACAACTTAATCATGTCAAACTTAAATAATAATAAATCATTTATTGGAAACGAGAGCAACTGATATATCGTATCACTCATTATAGTATAAAAAAAAATATTTCCAAGGCCTTAACAGCAAATACCAAGTGGTAACCCTCCATCGGTGACACTACGGAGTTTTCCTCCAGACGCATTTATTTTTATAGAAAAATATGAGATATCGCGAGTCCGCAGCTTTAGAGGTAAAAGTACCCTCACGCCGATCTTTCTAGAAACCGATAGAGCATTATTTTGATCTCAAACCTCCTTCGCAAAACCCCTACTATTCAGTTGAAGCCCGAAGGAGCTGAGCTACGTGAGTCACCAATAGTGTTGTTTTTGTTTGCTATATACTTTTATAAATATGTAAAATAAAGAGTTTTGCTTGGTTTTATGTAGAATTTTGTTGGTTATAAATTGTTTTAATACTCAACAAATGTTCGTCTAATGTTTTAACACACGGAAAAATCTCCGTATGTCACCGATCGTGTTTTAAAATCAAAGACATTGACAAAGAATTAACTGAGTTCCTGCTTAAAAAAAAACAGTGGGTCTATAAAGATTCACTTAAGGAGATTTAAGTGCCTAAGGTGAAGGATATTATTAAAATGTCGTCAATAAACAAATTAGTTAATTCATGTTTTAAATTAAATCCATTGCTAAATAATCTACTAAAAAGATGTACAGTAAGTAATTATTTCAAATCACGAAATAGGCCTAACCGTTTCTAAAAAAAGTTCTGTACAAACCAAAATTTACAGGACACCGTAGGTAGTGAATGCAGGTGGCAAACCAAATAAGACAACTTATGTCAATTTGCATCACAGCAAATGACGATAGGACAGTTTTACAATTCCCTACGAGTATCTATGGAAGGTTGGCTGAGGTTAGGAGCTTATTTTGGTCTTTGATAACCAACAATATGCGAGGGTGCGTGGTATCGATGGTGTACAGTTTAGTAGCTGACGCACGCACACAGCGGCCTTGGGGCGGCCCCGCGGCGTGACCGAGGTCGCGGTGAGTCACCGGGGAACTCCCGTACCCACTACCAGAGACTGAGACCATTGCAACTACGCCTAGAGTGAAGGCTGCCATACTATTCCAATTATTGTTTAGAAATTTTAAACAGAGGCCATTAGGATTGGGAAACTGTGTTAGTGTTTAATTATGTTTAATTCAAACTAATTATCTTCAAAGCGAAATTATTCATTTCTGACACAGATTTTGCAAACTTCCACAATCAAATCCAAGCGGCATAATTACTGATCAAACTTATGATTGTGTTTAGTCACTACACAATGATTTACAACAATAAATCACTATAACTGTTTTCATTGACTTAGTATTCGTTTCGTAAGAAGACTTGAACAATATTAAAATCATGTTTTCTCTATAAATGTAATTGTTGAATCTAAAAGTCATTAATCTCAGATTTCTACCGGGTAGAGGACACACTAACGGCGGCAACGCGATAGAATCAATAAGTGGACGCGTCGCGACGCTATACAGTGTCTCAAACAGTCCTACACCTCCACTGTACAGCGTCATCTCTTTACAGTCAGGGGCCGAGCTTGGCTCCGTGAAGGACGTCATTAGGGGCGGCGTGATATAATCGATAAATGGACGTCGTCGTGTCGTATATAAAGTGTCTCCTACACCTGAACTTCACAACGTCACCTCCTTAAAGTTAGGGACCGAGCTTGACTAAATGAAGGACGTAATCAGCGGCGACGTGATAGAATCGATACGTGGACGTCGTCGTGTCGTCGCGACGCTCTATATATAGTGTCTCCTACACCTCAACTGTACAGCGTCATCTCCTTACAGTGAGGGGCCGAGCTTGGCTCCGTGAAGGACGTCATTAGCGGCGACGTGATACAATCGATAAGTGGACGTCATCGTGCCGTCGCGACGCTCTATATATAGTGTCTCCTACACCTCAACTGTACAGCGTCATCTCCTAACAGTCTGGGGCCAAGCTTTGCTAAGTGAAATACGTTCGCGACGCTCTATATATAGTTTCTCCAACACTTCAGCTGTACCGCGTCATCTCCTTACCACTGAGAGACCGATCTTCGCTCAGTGAAAGACACACACCCCATTTTCCTACAATTATGAGCACCTTACACACCACTGTCAATGGTGTCTAGTACTTGCTGTCAATGGCTACTGCTCCTCTGTATTCGTTGGTGTTTCGCAGTCGCAGTGTTGTGTTACCGAGTGGCTGTAGTGTTGTAGTTGTAGAGCGGTCCAGGTCCAGGCCCAGCCACAGCCCGTTAGTCCAAGGCTAACCGGTCAACAAGGCGAGCCGCCCGCCCCGCGCCGCAGCCTTCCTGTCCGAAAAATAACTCTATTTCCACAACCGAACTGAATTTTTAATCATCACCAACGTCGAGAAGTGTGAATTCATTCCAGCGTGAAAGTATATTATGCAAATGAGTCTTGCCCAATATCACCTTAGCGTATATGCATTTCAGTCAAAACTGACTGGGTGCTTAGTCAAATGACGAGGTCGCGTTGGTGCAAATCATACGTATATCAACAATATCCTTGGTGATAACAACGCGATCTACGTCCCAAGTACGGCACGCAGTACCTTGACCGAGGCCGATAAGATAAACGGTAGTACGGGGTGAACGGGTCGAGCAACAAGGTATACTCAAGGATTCAATATTTGTCTTAAAACATCAAAATATAATATTGCAACCCTGAAAAACTGTATCAAGGGTATAATAATCGAGTGGCAAAATCTACGTATAGAGGCTAGCTGTATGTAAAATGATTTTTTTCCTCCGTATAGCATTTTTGGAACAAATTGCATTTCAGAGAGTGTTGTGAGAGGCGCTGAAACGGAACCTTGTGCGGAAATGCATTTGGCCGAGGGTCGTATGTAATTACTCGGCTTTCTATTCTCCGCCACGTTCCTTATCAGTGGACTTTCTCCGGGTGACCTTGAGCCTCCTCGATTAGTCGCGCGACATTTGCCCTTTGCGCTGAATTAGGCGAGGTGTGATTGCCGTTCGCGACAGCCGACGTGACATTCGCGCAGCTCAAACCAACTTGGTTCTCCACCTGAAGGATGGACGACAGTACAGTGTTGGTTGAAGTGTTTATTCGAATTGTATTTTGTTTGTCACACGCTAGGGCTTCCTACTAATATATTCGGCAATACCTCAGCCCGTTCGTTACAGGATTAAATTAAAGCGAAAGTCCTCGTAAATTTGACAACGATAATATCTAGTACTCAACACGAACCATAAGAGAGCAGAGTGTTTATCAAATGATTAGCTAACCAAGGCTTGATACTGAAGCTGGCATGATGACGTCAAGATTGAAATTCATAAACCCGTTGAACGAAGCGCGAACTCTCTAGAATTCATGGTTAAGCCATGATTATGGATTATAAAAGACTGTTAAAATAAATTTTCAACACCGGCTATGAAAATGTATGTATCGGTAAAATAATTACTAAAACCAAAACTTTCCACAATTTTGAACATTTGCAACTAAATCCTCCTGAATGTCTAGTGGAATCCTTCGCGCAGGGTCTGGTTCTAGGAAGAATCCCTTTGTCAAATTTCCAATGTCGTTACCGACCAACTGTATTTTACAGAACGTGATTCCCCAAGGTCAGACCCGACTCAAGGTCAATGATAAGGGATCACCGTCAATGCACTTGTGACATTATCAGAAGTGATAACAAACATAGCTGCACTACAAGCAGGAAAACACCACTCCGCTTGTTACATTCTGCGTCATACACTATGTTATTCAGTATTGTATAATTTTTTTTTTTACTTTATTTTGTAATCTTACAGGCTAGTGCCAATATACCTTTATAGGCAAAGGTATTCCTGAAGCAATCCACAAGGAAAACACGCTGGGCAAACATCGCGCAACACATTACATAACAATTGGTTCAACGGTCAAATCAGCAAAGAGTGTGAATAGGTAATTGATACAGCGATTTGGAGGTAATTGATTCAACCTTGAGTGGGGAAAAAGGATCAACATTGCTCGATAGTGGCGGCTTGTAGCTGTCAAAATGACCACAGGCTTAGGAGCTACGCGAATCTTCCAGATCTAACTATTCTAGAGCCAAAAATAAATTCCAATCTGCATTAACGTAAACATATTCAACGTAGAGTTATTATAATTGAACAATAAATAACCAATGTTTAGGAAAGTTACCTTTAGGCAATATAAGGGAGTATTCATTATATTTTGATTTGTCGTCCTTTTTGGGGCTAGTTTATTTGAATTTGGTGTAGAGCGGAAAAGCATATGTTAGTTTATATCTCGCTATTTGTTTTACGTTTTTTTTTTTTACTACGCGGAAGACGCTGTCCACTGAGCCTTGAGGGCTAGACCAGTACATTTTTCGTTCTACCAACACATACACATGAGCCAAATAATGTTCATTATTCATCTGTATATACAACATGTATGTGTTACATTTTAATTCCACCCCTATGAGTCACAGATACTGTTTATCAACAGTATGCTAAACACATAACGCAATTCGTAGTCTTCCATGTTAACCTTATGGAGGAATACATTGATAGCTCTACTGCTCATTTTTGGAAAACAAGTTTTCAAAC